ACCACCCATTCCCATCACCATCTCACATACCTTCATATAGGCGCTCGAGACCTCCTCTCGCTGCCTACTCGCTGCCTCGAGGGAGGAGGGGAAGACGTCAGGCAGCTCTCACTGTGATGACTCGCGCTTGAACGGAGGCCCCTCCCCGAAAGGCAAGTCTTAGCCACATGAAACCCGAGACCCCTCCCCACCGCCCCGATCCCCCCACCCCCTTGCTCCCCTCCCCCCCTCGGGAGGGCCGAACTGAGGCGCCCGAGGGGACCCCGCAATTCCCTTCCCCCCTCGGAGGGCCGGACTGAGGCGTCGAGGGCCCCGCTCTGTCCCTCGCATAGCGGCCACTCTTCGGATCGCTGGTCGAGCGACCCGGGGGATGCCCCGCGCGCCTGACCCAGGCGCGAAAACGAATCTGCGAGGCGTGGCCGCTCACGCGGCCCGATGGGGAGGAGGGGAAGACGTAGGGCGTGCTTGCGCGCCTTTCCGAGGCCCCTCCAACCCACCCGCGCTAGGTCTCGGGTTTGACGCATGGGGTCACACCCGCGAAACTCGTGAACTAGCCGGGGCAGTCGGAGAAGGGGCAACTCCGTGCACTGACGGTCGGCCGTCAGAAAACACGCCTCCGTGGCTCGGGTTACACCAATCCTCGCTACCCAACGCGGCCAAAGGATATCCACCTCGAGAACCTCGAGAACGCACGAGGTGTGCGGCAAAGGAGGCGGGATACGATGGCGACTCGCGTCAAGTGCGCTCAATTGAGCATGGCTGACATGGCTGACGACGATGGCGGCTGCCACGCATGCACCTTCTTCATGCTGGACGCTGCTTTTGTGCGCACATTCCCGGGCAAGAGCCTGCCGTTCTTCCAGGAGATTCGCGACGACTACGCCACCGAAGAGCCGCTCGTCGAAGAGGCGCTCGACTACGCTGACGTGGTGAAGGGCACCCACATTGAGACGACCTTGGCGGTCTCGCACCGCTGGATGCAGCCGGACGACCCGGACCCCGACGGCGAGCAGCTCAAGGCGCTCAAGGGCTTCCTCAACTCGCCCAACGGCAAGAAGATTGAGCGCGTCTGGATTGACTCGGCTTGCATGCCACAGGACCACCCCAAGGGCTCCCGCAGCGCGGAGGACGCGGCCGCCTTCAAGAGGATGCTCAAGGAGGTGAACCGGCTTTACCTCGGCACCACCGTCCTGATCCTCCTCGACCTGTCGTACGTCTCCCGCTTCTGGACTCAGTTTGAGTCGTGGCTGTCCATGCAGTACGCCACCCCCTCCGGCCTGAAGTCGGCGGTGGGCACCAAGAACGAGCGGCACCACATTGTTTGCATCCAGAACGCGGCCGAGCAATCCGAGCTGCACGAGAAGATGCTCATCCAGAGCTGGGCGACGAAGACGCCGGAGCAGGCGCACGCCTTCCTCTCCAAGCCCGACGTCACCGTGACCAACCAGGGCGACAAGGACGGGCGCTGCCGAAAATCAAGGCGCTCGACAAGACCGTGCAGGGCGCGTTTGGGGACATCTCGCGGTCGCTAGAGGATGAACTTGCGGCGAGCGAGGCGGCGGCTGCGCTCGCGGAGGCGGAGCTGACCGCGTGGGAGACGGAGAACGATGCCAAGGCCGGCGAGAAGAACCGGCTGAAGGTGGCGGCGCGGCAGGCGGCGAGCGCGGTGGCGGCGGCGCGCTTGGCGAAGGAGGAGCACGCGCGGGCGATCTCGAGTAGTGTCGTCCCGGCAATGATGAAGCGGGCAGAGGCAGCGTTGGCAGAGGACAGCCTGAGCATGTCCGACGTGCGGGAGCTGGTGCTGCAGCTGAGCGGCGGAGGGGACAAGCGGAAGGAGCGGGCCGCGGCGGCGCTGGCGAACCTCGCAGGAGCCAACGATGACAACGTTTCGAACCAGCACAAGGCCGACGTCCAAGCGGCGATTGCGGCCGCAGGCGGCATCGCGCCTCTCGTAGCGCTGGCTCGCGGCGGCACAGACGGGCAGATGGAGGCGGCCGCGTCGGCGCTGAGGACCCTCGCTCGCAACGCCGACAACAGGGTGGCGATCGCGAGGGCGGGCGGCATCGCGCCGCTGGTGGCGCTGGCTCGCGGCGGCACGGACGGGCAGAAGCATTGGGCCGCGGGGGCGCTGCGGAACCTCGCTCTCAACGCCGACAACCAGGTGGCGATCGCGAGGGCGGGTGGCATCGCGCCGCTGGTGGCGCTGGCTCGCGGCGGCACGGACGGGCAGAAGGAGAAGGCCGCGGCGACGCTGGCGAACCTCGCAGGAGCCAACGATGACAACGTTTTATTTCGGACCACAACGCCGACATCCAAACGGCGATTGCGGCCGCAGGCGGCATCGCGCCTCTCGTAGCGCTGGCTCGCGGCGGCACAGACGGGCAGATGGAGGCGGCCGCGTGGGCGCTGAGGACCCTCGCTCTCAACGCCGACAACCAGGTGGCGATCGCGAGGGCGGGCGGCATCGCGCCGCTGGTGGCGCTGGCTCACGGCGGCACGGACGGGCAGAAGGAGAAGGCCGCGGGGGCGCTGCGGACCCTCGCTCTCAACGCCGACAACCAGGTGGCGATCGCGAGGGCGGGTGGCATCGCGCCGCTGGTGGCGCTGGCTCGCGGCGGCACGGACGGGCAGAAGGAGAAGGCCGCGGCGACGCTGGCGAACCTCGCAGGAGCCAACGATGACAACGTTATTTCGGACCACAACGCCGACATCCAAACGGCGATTGCGGCCGCAGGCGGCATCGCGCCTCTCGTAGCGCTGGCTCGCGGCGGCACAGACGGGCAGATGGAGGCGGCCGCGTGGGCGCTGAGGACCCTCGCTCGCAACGCCGACAACAGGGCGGCGATCGCGAGGGCGGGCGGCATCGCGCCGCTGGTGGCGCTGGCTCGCGGCGGCACAGACGGGCAGAAGCATTGCTTGGGCCGCGGGGGCGCTGCGGAACCTCGCTCTCAACGCCGACAACCAGGTGGCGATCGCGAGGGCGGGTGGCATCGCGCCGCTGGTGGCGCTGGCTCGCGGCGGCACGGACGGGCAGAAGGAGAAGGCCGCGGGGGCGCTGCGGAACCTCTCCTGCAACAAAACGAACCTCGCGGCTATGAAGGACCTGGGGTACGGCAAGAAAAAGTCGTCCTTCGGAGGCTGCTTGATGATGTAGGTGAGGAGGTGCTAGCTGGTGTGGTCTCGGTAGGTCTGTAGAGAACTCTGAATTACCTCTTACCAGATACCACTGGTCATATTGACACCGCCCGTATTTTGGTCGGAAGGGATCTATACATATTCATATACAGGGGATCTGCGACTGCGTGCGCACGCCCCCGGGTCTCCTCACCCACACGGGTCCCTCCTCACCCTGGAGGTCGGAGCGAGGCGGGGGTGCATATATGGAAGCCTTTCACGAGTAACACGACGCATCTTTCTCCAGTCAATAGACACCCGTGCGATCCGATCGACAGGAGGTTGGAAACTGCAGAGAGCCACGACGCACGAGAGAGGGGAGAGATAGCCAAATACGTAAATAAAACGGTCAAACTCTGAGACGAGATGGGATTTAGGGACATGTGTCCCAGTTGTCTCTGCTTCTCTGCTTTTTTTTCAGATGGGAGGACGGGGAAGAGTCGAGTGGGAAGAGTCAAGTGTGCGTCTGAAGACGGAGAGAGAGCGCCGCGCGGGTCGGAGCGACAGGGGGCGCGGGTTCATACATGTACATGGAAGCCTTCCACGAGTAACACAAACGCGCTCGCATCCCACGCAAACAAAACAACGCAGCCTCTACCGCTCGCGGTCACAGGACCGCCTCCACCTCGAGCAGCGATGATGCTCTGCACACGCATACTAGATCGATAGAGAGGCGCTCACAGTCAACGATTGGGACACCGGGGTACTCTATGGGAGACACACGTATATGCAGCGCGGAACCGCGGTGACCGGTGTACGACTGCAAAAAGAAGTATAAGTAAAAAGCGGAGTGTTTACCTCTCGAGAGAAATGCGACGGTGTATCAGTCGCCTTTTACTGGGCTGGGTTTTTAGGCATTGTGGGGTTGGCACTCCCATCGACCCTCATGACCTCCTGCGGTCTCTGAGATGGACACCAGTGGGTGCGGCGACCTCGACCGACTATGGAGGACCCGTCGCCAGACGACGCAGGGCAGACGATGTGGAGGCGGAGCCGCCCGCTGCCAAGGTGAGCTCTCTCCCGCAAGCTGAGCCGGCGCTGCCAGAGGTGCGACGGGCCAATGCTGCTCCGGAGGGCCGCACGACGGCGCTCTGGCACCCCGCGGCGCTCTGGCACCTTGCGGCACCCCGCGGCTAGCAGCGCGGCCCTAGCACCCCTTTCCGCCGGCGATCTCGAGGCAGGCCGTCTGCGGGAAGATTGGCAGCACGGCGAGGGTCGTGCCTGTTCACAGACGACCGTGTGAAGAGACCTCACGTCCACGTTCACAGGACCGGGACGGAGCGCCGTGCCGAAGATGACGAGGAAGGCGAGCAGCGCAAGCATCGCCCAGCCGGCGGCGCGGCTGCGGGGCAGCTCCGCGAGCCGGCGCACCTCCTCCTTTTGGCTCGGCATCAGGGGCAGGAAGAGGAGCGAGAGGCAAGCGGTGGCGGTGGCGAGCAGCGTGAGCCACGCCATGTTCCACTGCACCTCCTCGCACGACGCGCCTGGCGAGAGATGAGCAGAGATGAGCCGAGATGGATCGAGGGGCGTCACTGCGCACACATCGTCGTGCGGCCGCACCGGCCTCCGACGCGCTTAGCCGTGCGCGTCCAAGGGCGCACGCCTTCAGCGTAGCGACAACAAGAACAATGATGATGATGATGCTAGTTCATAATCGTACTCGTGACAGCAATACCAACAACCGCAACCAAAGCAATGGCACAAATGGTGATGGCCATAACAAGAGAATGGCGTGCGGCGGGCGCAAGCGCCTTGAGCTCGTCGTTGTTCGTGTTGGACGGCCTAAGAACAACGAGAGGCGTGACCCCGGAAAGAAGAAAAACGCGGCCCCGCCGGCCGTGTCGGAGGGCCAGACGGCGAGGAGGAGGTTGTTGATGGCGTTGGCCACGTTCATCGCCTGGTTTCGTGGACGGGGCGACACACACACGTCTGGATTAGTTGCTCATCAACGCATTCAACACATCACTCCGCGCCTGGTTCGTGTACGTGGTGACGGCGCCGTAGATGACTCCCTCGAAGCCGGGCACCGTGATCTCGGGGATCACCTGATGATTAATTAAGACTGATTATAATTAAGACTGATTAATTAATCAATCGCCGTGATCTCGGGGATCACCACGATGCCGATCGCAGACGTGAGCGCGTACGCGAGCGACATGTCCACCTGCGTCATGGGGAGATGTGGGGAGATGTGGGGAGATGTGGGGAGATGTGGGACGGGACATGCCCACCTGCGCTTGGGGAGAGATGGGGAGATGTGCCGAGAGATGGGGAGATATGCCGAGACGTGTCCACCTGCGTCAAGACGTGCCGGCGCCGTTCTTTCAGTCAATTCATTCGTGAGTTGACTCACTGTCCGCTGTGTGAAGACGTACCCACCACAGCTGTTCTTTCAACTGAGTCATCAATTAATTAATTAATTAATCAATTGACTCTCCACCTGCGTGAAGACGTACCACCAGCCGTTCTTGAAGAGCGGGACGAAGATGGTGAGCAGGTAGAGCAGCGAGAAGAGCTGTGTGCCTACGTGTGGTGCTCGCAGGGCGGGATGAGGACTACAGGGCGGGATGGCTAGGGCGGGAGTACGGTGTGCAAGCAATCCACACGTTGACGACATCTCCTCAGATCTCCCCACATCTCCCCATATCTCCCGCAAGCAACCCACACGTTGACGACATCAGGGCGGGATCACGGCACTGTGCAGGCAGTGTGTGCTCAGTGTATGCACGGGGTTGCGAGGGACACGACTGCAGTGAATGCGACTGACTACGGCCGAAGAGAAGGGGGCACACGTGCCCCCCTCAAGAGCCTCCACACGGGTGGAATACAAGGACCACACATCCCCCGCTTCTGCAGCTGCGCGCCGAGGATACCTCCGGCGTACGTCAGCCGCCAGCTCGCCTGCAGCAGATCACAGCCTCGTAGGGCGTGCGCATCCCTGCCGCCTCTCGCCCGCAAGGCTCTCCGGCGGGCGGCGCTCTCGGCCATTACGCGAGCAGGCTCCCCCTCGCCCACGCCCCCTCGCCACCGCACACAGCGCGTCCGCATGCGGGCGGGACTGGGCTGATGCTCGCGTCTCCCTGCATCTCTCCCCCTATCTCCCCCTATCTCCCCACATCTCCCCACATCTCCCCACATCTCCCCCTATCTCCCCATATCTCCCTGCCCGCACGCCCTCCCTGGCCCTCCCTCCCTGGCCCTCCCTCCCTGGCCCCCGGGCACGCGCTGGGGGGGGCTCCCTCCCTCCCTCCCTCCCTCCCTCCCTCCCTGCCCGCACGCCCCTGGGGGGGGTCCCCCCCCCCCCCCCCCCTCTGCTCTCCTGCAGCAGGTACCGCTTGAAGGCCCACATGCCGACCGCCATCATCAGGCTCTGGAAGCAGGCCGACAGGCCGAGCTGCAGCGGCTCGATGTGGAACCTATGGGGAGATGGGGGGAGATGGGGGGAGATATGCCGAGAGGCCGAGCTGCAGCGGCTCGATAGTGGAACCACTGAGCGTTTGCGTTGATCTGCGCCTAGTGTTGGAGACGGGCGGGAGCGTGATGCTGTGATGGTGATAATCATGAAACAATGGTAATCGTTAATATCATAAGACTCCTGGTTTGGGTGCTACTAGTAAAACAATAGTGAGAATGAGAGCGTAGTAATAACAACCACAACAGGAAGGAGAAGGATGCCTGGTTGGTGACGAGCGAGAGCGTGGTGACGCTGACCAGCGCGACGATGAGCCTCCACACCGGCGCCTACCGCAGGAGGGGAGATGTGGGGAGAGATGGAGAGATATGGGCCTGCCGCAGGAGGCGAAGCAGCTGCTTGGGGAGATGTGGGGAGGTGTGGGGAGGTGTGGGGAGATGTGGGGAGACACGGGCCTGCTGCAGGAGGCGAAGCAGCTGCTTGGGGAGATGTGGGGAGATGTGGGGAGATGTGGGGAGACACGGGCCTGCTGCAGGAGGCGAAGCAGCTGCTTGCACCGCCTCCGGAAGCTGAGCTGCTTGCCGGGAGGCGCCTCGTGCAGGGAGCGGAGGGAGGCGCCCATCAGAACGGGAGATATGGGGAGATATGGGGAGATATGGGGAGATCGCCTCGTGCAGGGAGGGGAGGGAGGCGCCCATCAGAACGGGAGATGTGGGGAGATATGGGGAGATATGGGGAGATCGCCTCGTGCAGGGAGGGGAGGGAGGCGCCCATCAGAACGGGAGATGTGGGGAGATATGGGGAGATATGGGGAGATCGCCTCGTGCAGGAAGGGGAGGGAGGCGCCCATCAGGACGCCGACGAAGGCGACGATGATCCACATCAGCTGCTGTGTGGTCAGGCCCCAGCTGAACGAGCCGCCGCTGGGGGGGCCTGATTAATTAATTAAGACTGTTTAATTAATTAAGACTGATTAATTAAGGAGCCGCCGCTCGGGGGGCCGTTGTAGCAGAACGCGACGACTCCGTTCGCCAGAACGTTGACCGAGTGCCGGATCAGGTAGGCGGTGGAGATGAGCGAGCCTGCCGTGCCGAGGGCGCCAACATCAGGCCGGGAGGACGGGATCGTGCAGAGCATTCAGAGCACCGTGTGAATACGAGGGGCACGAATGCAGCGGAGTACAGCGGGATACGGCCGAATAAGGTTGAGTACGTGTCCTCTCGAGCGCCGTTTGGAGTACAAGAAGACGTATTCCGCTTCTAGGCCAGCGAGCCTCGCGCCTCGGCCGCCTCTCTCGTCGAGAGGGCGACGAGCACCGCGTCGGCGGCGCAGTCGGCGAGGAGGTACGAGACGGTCATGCACAGGAAGATGGTCGAGGCGAGCGGCAGAGTGAGCGTCGGGAGGACGGCGAGCAGGAGGGCGCCGCCCCAGAGCATGCCCCAGCCGAGGACCATGTACGGCTTGCGGTGCAAGCCGCAGATCGGCACCTAGTTAATTCATTCATGAGTTCATTCTTGCGCCGCAAGCCGCAGATCGGCACCTAGTTAATTCATTCATCAGTTCATTCTTGCGCCGCAAGCCGCAGATCGGCACCTAGACTCGGACGGCAGGCAAGGACCGGCGGTGCGCTTTCAGCCGCACGGACTGTTTGGCTCGAATCACGCGGCGACTCTCGTGCTGACCGCGTCGCTGAGCATGCCGTATTCATCGCTTCTGATCATGCCGTGTCCGCAGCACTAATAACTGGTGGAGATATACTGCACTGACCGCGTCGCTGAGCATGCCGTACGCAAGCTTGAAGCCCCACGGAAGGTTGACAAAGGTGGAGACCGTCGCGCACGTGTTTGGCTGGCCATGGACTACGTAGAGGCAGTACGGCAGCAGCGTCTGCGACAGAAGCCCATTGACCATGCCGACGCACGCATAGTGGCTGTAGATGGCAATCTGCGGCAGCGACCACATGTCGGGCGCAGCCTCGAGAATGGCGGGCTCCACATCTAGCAGGGGCACAGTCAGCGTCTCCTGTTTCGGCGGCCTGCCCGGCGGCGGAGGGCCTGGGTGGAGCGGCGGCTCGGGAGTCACGAGGAAGCGATCGCGCGAGGCGTCGGGACTCTGCTGGTACGGAGCCAGCCTCTCGCCAAGCCTTGGCGAGCGGTGGTGCTTTGGGTTGAGCTGCAGCATCGACGACGAGCCGCGGCGACGGGGATGAGCGAGCCGATGGCGCGGCGACGGCCAACGCCCGACAGTCGCGCCTCTGACAGTACCCCGCGTGCGGCTGTGTTTTTTTATTTTGAGCTTAGCCTTCGATGTTATGAACTTTTATTTTGAGCTAAGCCTTCGGTGTTATGAAACAACGCAAGGCGGACATGGCATATCACTCTCGGCCCCACAGACATCCCGCACACCCGCCGCCCCCGCGCGCGCCCCACTCCGGCCGGGAGAGAGGGGAGTGACAGTTTGGGACGGCGACAGCCCGAGTATGTTGAGTCCTGGCTCAACAACGCAGGTTCAAGAGGGGGTGGTCCGGCTCACAAGTCCGGCTCACGCGCCTCGAGCTGACCATCTACCGCACTGAGCACTTCCGCCCCCTCGCTCCCAGCCCATCCACCCCGCCTCGGGCCGCGCCGCGCGATCTCGGGCAATCTCGCGCTATCTCGGGCGATCTCGGGGCCGCGCCGCGCTATCTCGGGCGATCTCGGAGCGTCGCTCGCGCGGCGTCACACCTGCTCAAAAAGGAAGGAGGTTGGAGGCAGGAGGTCACGCCCCATCCAGAGCGCCGTCGTCGCCGGGTTTTTGGCCCCCGGGTCGTCGCCCGACGGTTGCTGCGCGGGGCAGCAGACCATCGGACGGCGCGACGACGCCCCGTCCGGCACGCTCCCCCACCTCCACTCGGCTATTGCCGCACGAGCGCCCTCAGCGGCGGAATTTTTCCCTCGCGCTTCCTTGGGCCCCCGGCAACGCCGACGGACTTCCCGTCCCCCCACCTGCGCCGCAATCACCGCCGTGATTGTCGGCGCTGCGCCCCTTGGCGCCTGTGCATGTCCCGCGTGCCCGCCCGCCAACTTTTATTTTTGAGAGCGCTTGTTGTTAATAATACAAGCCCAATGGTCCACGTAGAGTTTCTCGCACATCATCACGCACAACACAACATAACACAAGTTCTGATTCTTGCCCTATATACAAGGGGATCTAATGAAGCTGACTCGACTCCAGTGCTGGCCGAGGAGGCGGATGGTTTGGAGGAGCAAGAGAGAGAGAGGGAGTCGCGATTGGTACCCCCACTCGGTCTGAGCGCAAAGGCGCAGCGGATGGAGCAGGGTGGCTGGGCCACTGCGCCGTGGGGAGTCGGCGGGAGAGAGGTCCTCACAAACACAGAGGTCCTCACATCAGACAGAGGTCCTCACAGACGAGGTCCTCAGTATGCTTTTGAGGACCCCTCTCTTGATGTGACACTGATGGCATGTGAGACAGAACCTTGTTTGTTGTCGTGCGAGTGAGGATCTCACTCAAAGTGCGCTCACCCTGGGAGCGTATGGTTTATCAATGAAGGGGGGAGCAGAAGCCAGCCGCAGCCCACGGCTTGGGAGGACCTCTTGCTGTGAGAGGGGCTTGTATGGTAGAACTCTTTCGTGAGGACCTGTTTCCATCGTGAGGACCTCTTTCTTGAGTGAGGAATGATCGCTCCGACGTGTCCAACTTAAGTAGGTAGAACCGAGCTACACCGCTCCGACGCGAGCTACACCCCTCCAAGACTGCTCTGGTGGCGCCAGGCTGTTGTTGGGTTCTCTGTGTACCGCTGGTCCATATGGTAAGGTAGGTAGGTAGTAAGGTGAAGAACAGCCAGGCTCGGACTGGACACCAACGCGGTATGGGTGGACGCTAGACAGATGATGACGACACGCACGAGCGACACACAGACACAAACAGGCTCACAAGACACACAGCCAGCGGGCGGCTGGTGCTGCCACACACCCTGAGTCGGCGTACACATAACTCAGGGCCACATCCTCCCTGTCGCCCCCATGGTAAGGTAGGTAGGTAGGTAGGTAGGTAGGTAAGATCCTTCTAGAAAAAGAATTTAAACAAAACAACTCTCTCTCACAGCAGACAGGCTAGAAAAAGAAAACATCGCTCTTTCGCTCACGTCGCGGTCCAAGGCGTCGTGGAGGCGCTGCTGTGACCAATTGGCGCAAAAGCGTGTGGAGCCGTCTACGCGCAGCTGCCGTCACTCGCGAGCCATACCTTCGCCACACCCCACACCCCTCGCGTGGCCATGCCGCCCAAGAGCGGCACCGACCTGACGTCGCGCGGCGACGACGACGACCCCGACAAGTACAAGAGCACGCGCTACAACCAGGTCAACGCCGACGTCGAGGACATCTACCGGCAGTGGGACGAGCTGGTGAATGAGGAGCAGCTGCGCGAGTTGAGCCGGATCGTGCGCGACCTGGCGGCCGACCCACCGGCCGACGGCAAGGCCCTCGAGCACCAGCTCATGCTGCACCGCAAGCGGATGCGGCGCGCAGACACGTTCCGCAAGGCGCAGCTGCTGCACGCGTACCACTGCCTCGTCTCGCGCGGCGAGCTGGAGGCGAATCCGCACCTGCACTCGCTGCTGGTGAAGAAGTCGTCCAAGTCGCAGTCGGGCGTCCTCGTCATCACCGTCCTCACCTCGCCCTACCCAACCTTCACTGAGCCCGAATCGGGAAAGAAGGCGACCAGCCACTCTCCGCGGACCAGACCACACTTCCTAGACACTCACTTCCGAGAGAGTCTCCCCAGACACGCCCCAGAACACCGCGGGTACATCGCAGACGCCAGAATCGTGCTATCCAGCGCTGGCTCGCCAGGTCAAGCAGCGCTCCTTTCTCGCGCTCGCCGCCCGGAAGCTTCCGCGACCCTTCCCTGACGCTTCTCGGAACACTCCTCCACGCCAGGTGAAGCAGCGCTTCTCGTGCGCGTGGAACTGCTACTACTGCCCGTCCGAGCCGGGGCAGCCAAAGTCGTACTTGCACGACGAGCCCGCCGTCAAGCGCGCCAATGAGAACGGCCCCGACCCTGTGTGATGCATCTCCACAGCTGCTGCTGCTCCGCGACAGACGCCCGTCTGTCTTCTTCTCTGCAGGCTTCGACCCCGTCATGCAGCTGACCGACCGCGCCGCCACTCTCGCCCAGAACGGCCACCCCGTCGACAAGATCGAGCTAGTGGGCCGTGAACAGCGTCTCTTCACACCTCTAGCTGTGAATAGGCCACCCCGTCGACAAGATCGAGCTAGTGGGCCGTGAACAGCGTCTCTTCACACCTCTAGCTGTGAATAGGCCACCCCGTCGACAAGATCGAGCTCCTCGTGCTGGGCGGCACTTGGTCCTCCTACCCGCACGTCTACCAGGAGCGAGATATGGGGGAGATATGGGGGAGATATGGGCGGCACTTGGTCCTCCTACCCGCACGTCTACCAGGAGCGAGATATGGGGGAGATATGGGCGGCACTTGGTCCTCCTACCCGCACGTCTACCAGGAGCGAGATATGGGGGAGATATGGGGGAGATATGGGCGGCACTTGGTCCTCCTACCCGCACGTCTACCAGGAGCGAGATATGGGGGAGATATGGGGGAGATATGGGCGGCACTTGGTCCTCCTACCCGCACGTCTACCAGGAGCGAGATATGGGGGAGATATGGGGGAGATATAGGGAGATATGGGCGGCACTTGGTCCTCCTACCCGCACGTCTACCAGGAGCGAGATATGGGGGAGATATGGGGGAGATATAGGGAGATATGGGCGGCACTTGGTCCTCCTACCCGCACGTGTACCAGTAGCGAGATATGGGGAGATATGGGGGAGATATAGGGAGATATGGGCGGCACTTGGTCGTCCTACCGCGCACGTGTACCAGGAGCGAGGTGCGCGACCGCTCACATCTCCCCATCTCTCCCCCATCCCTCCCCCACACCTCCCCGTACCAGGAGGAGTTTGTGCGCGACCTCTTCTACGCCGCTAACACCTTTTGGCAGCGCGAGAAGCGGCCTCGGCGCGGCCCTTGTCAAGGAGGAAGGAGTCCTGTCGGGCAGCACTGTTGACCGTACCAGTTGTCTCTGCCAGGAGGGGGCTGCTGGAGGAGCAGGCACTCAACGAGACCGCCGCCTGCAAGATCATCGGCCTCACGCTCGAGACGCGGCCGGACATGTCCACGACATGTCCACGACATGTCCGAGACACGACCCCATAGGCCTCACGCTCGAGACGAGGCCGGACATGTCCACGACATGTCCACGACATGTCCGAGACACGGCCCCATAGGCCTCACGCTCGAGACGCGGCCGGACATGTCCACGACATGTCCACGACATGTCCGAGACACGCCCCATAGGCCTCACGCTCGAGACGCGGCCGGACACGTCCACGACATGTCCACGACATGTCCGAGACACGCCCCATAGGCCTCACGCTCGAGACGAGGCCGGACATGTCCACGACATGTCCACGACATGTCCGAGACACGCCCCATAGGCCTCACGCTCGAGACGCGGCCGGACATGTCCACGACATGTCCACGACATGTCCGAGACACGCCCCATAGGCCTCACGCTCGAGACGCGGCCGGACATGTCCACGACATGTCCACGACATGTCCGAGACACGCCCCATAGGCCTCACGCTCGAGACGCGGCCGGACATGTCCACGACATGTCCACGACATGTCCGAGACACGCCCCATAGGCCTCACGCTCGAGACGAGGCCGGACACCATCGACGCGGCGGAGCTGCTGCGCCTCCGCCGGCGCTGTCGCCTAGAAGCGTAGTACGTATGTCGACCGTCCTCCGCTGTAGTCACTGCACTCCCCCCCCTCGTACCCACGCGGTGCTCTGAATACATTACATTGCACAAGATCGTCTGTCCGCCCCCGGAGATTGGCGGCTCCTAGCACGTAGGTATGGGTGATCTCCCCCATATCTCCCCATATCTCCCTATATCTCCAGCACGTAGGTATGGGTGATCTCCCCCATATCTCCCCATATCTCCCCATATCTCCAGCACGTAGGTATGGGTGATCTCCCCCATATCTCCCCATATCTCCCCATATCTCCCCCATATCTCCAGCGCGTAGGTACGGGTGCACGCGCGTGCAGCTCGGAGTGCAGCACACCGACGACCACGTGCGCAAGCGGATCAACCCCATATCTCCCCATATCTCCCCATGTCTCCCCACATCTCCCCACATCTCCCCACATCTCCCCACATCTCCCCACATCTCCCCACATCTCCCCATATCTCCTCATATCTCCCCACATCTCCCCATATCTCCCCACATCTCCCCGGCCAGGTGCTCAAGCGGATCAACCGCGGCTGCACGACGGCAGACACGGTGACGGCCCTGAAGCGGCTCAAGGACGCCTGCTACAAGATCGACATCCACCTGATGCCAAACTTGCCCGGCGCGACCGCAGCGGTGGACCGCGCCATGTTCGAGCGCGTGCTGAGTGACCCGCAGCTGCAGGCCGACCAGTGGAAGGTCTACCCGACCCAGGCGTGGTGCCGTGGACCGTCATCAAGCGAGATCACGGGCGAGATTAGCCGAGACTGTGCCGACCCAGGTGGTGCCGTGGACCGTCATCAAGCGCTGGTTTGAGGCGGGCAGCTACGTGCCGTATGCGAGCGACCAGATGTTTGAGCTCCTCATGCAGGTCAATTTGTTACTACTATTATTATTATTATGAGTAATAATAATTCTGTTCGAGCTCCTCAAGTCGCCTTATTATCATTATTATTATCATTATTATCATCATCATCATCATCATTATTATTATCATTATTATTATCATTATTGTTGTTGTTATTATTGTTATTGTTATTGTGTGTCCTCTTCAGGTCAAGTCGCGCGTGCACCCTTGGATCCGGCGCCACCCGCCTGGTGCGGCGCGAGGCGGCGCTGCGCACGGCGTCTCTTCACACCTGCGGCTGTGCACAGGCTCAACCGCGTGGTTCGAGACATCCCAATGCAGTACGTGTCTGGCGGGTCCGCCGGCCTAGAAGCGGAAGCTTCGTACTCTTGTCTCTCCCCACCAGTGCTCGAGAGGACACGGATTCAGCCGTGCCCGTACCGCACTCCGCTGTACTCGCTGTTTTCGTGGCCCCTCGTCCTCACGCGGTGCTCTGAAGACGCTGCACAGCGCCGTAGTCGTTGGCTCGACGCCCCCCCCTATCTCCGCCCTATCTCCCCCTATCTCCGCCATATCTCCCCCATATCTCCCCCATATCTCCCCCATATCTCCCCCGTATCTCCCCCGTATCTCCCCCATATCTCCCCATATCTCCCCCATATCTCCCCCGTATCTCCCCCGTATCTCCCCCATATCTCCCCCATATCTCCCCCATATCTCCCCACGGAGGCTCGACGTCCCGAACTTGCGCGAGGACTTGCTCGCAGAGATGAGGGACAAGGGGCTCACTTGCCGCTGCATCCGATGCCGCGAGCCAGGCGCCGCCTCGAAGAAGCGGCTGCCACCGCGGCCGCCCCCCGCCCGAGGTGACCCGAGATTGCGCGAGATCAGGCGCCGCCTCGAAGAAGGTGCTGCCAAGGCAGACGCTCGTGCGGCGCGTCTACGCGGCGTCGGGCGGCGCGGAGCACTTCGTCTCCATCGAGTCCGCCGACCGCGCCACCCTCCTCGGCTTCGTGCGGCTGCGGCTGCCGCCGCCCTGGAGCGACGCGCCGGAGCACCAGCCGCCGTTCGAGGAGCTGCGCGGAGCAGCGCTGGTGCGCGAGAATTGCACGTGCGCGGGCGGGCTCTCGCGGGCTCTCGCCGGGACGTGTCTCGGACATGTCCTCGTTAGGTGCGGGAGCTGCACGTGTACGGGCAGCTCATCGCCACCGCCGACAAGAGCAACGCCGACGCGCAGCACACCGGCCTCGGTCGCACGCTCATGGCCGAGGCGGAGGCGACCGCGCGCGCACACGGCTTCCGGCGAGTCTGGCCCAGATGCGGAGGGTAGACCCACATCTCCCCGTATCTCCCCACATCACCCCATATCTCCCCATATCACGAGGCCCAGATGCGGAGGGTAGACCCACATCTCCCCGTATCTCCCCACATCTCCCCATATCTCCCCATATCACGAGGCCCAGATGCGGAGGGTAGACCCACATCTCCCCGTATCTCCCCACATCTCCCCATATCTCCCCATATCACGAGGCCCAGATGCGGAGGGACAGACCCACATCTCCCCGTATCTCCCCACATCTCCTCATATCTCCCCATATCACGAGGCCCAGACACACCCGTGCGTGCCGAATTAGCACTCGAGGAGAGGCGTGACGAGGCGGATGCTCTCACTGCAAACCGAGCTTTCCCGTGTGCGCGTGCGGTGCTCTCCCTGCCGCGCCCTGACGCCGGTGTCTCGCCTTCCGGCAGGCGCGTCGCCGTGATCGCGGGAGTGGGGTCGCGCGGCTACTACCGCAGGCTCGGCTACGCCCTCGACCCGCGCCCGGGGCTCTTCATGATGAAGGAGAGTAGCAGTAGTAGGCACTTCATGATGAACGGAGAGTAGCAGCAGTAGTAGGCACTTTATGATGAAACGAGAGTAGCAGCAGTAGTAGGCACTTCATGATGAACGGAGAGTAGCAGTAGTAGGCAGCCTTCACTCCAAGATCGGACCCCCTCTCCACGCCCAAGTGACTGGCGACACGAGACGTGGCTCAAAGCCACACGGAACTCACGCTCACTGGTGAGAGAAGTGAAAGCGCGCAGAGACAGAGCGGGGAGCGGAAAGGAGAGAGCGCCGCTCGCCGCGCAGTCGCCACGGCGCTCTGTTCGCCCCTCGCCTTCACCGCGCTCGGAGCCTCGCCTCTGTAGGAGCTCGCCTTCCTTGCGCCCGGCTGGAGACAGGCGCTCCTCCCGGCGGCACGCTGCGCGCTGATCGCGCTGCTCCCGCCCCTGCTGCTGCTGCTGCTGGCGTGGGTCAGCGCGCTCGGATGCCCCGACGAGGCGGCCGCGGGGCACCCGCATAGCCTCCGCTCGCTCGCGCGCTGCGCCTCCGCCTTGGTGTAGTGTCCCTGTCCGGACCCGCCCGTTGGACTCTCCGGGTCACGAGATAAAGCTCTTCTTGGACAACTCTTTTTGGTTCTCTCGACGGAATATACGCAACACGCCGAGTAATTTAAGGTGGTTCTTGAGAGTTGTATTCTTGAGAGTTGTGTGAACCAGGCCGCTTCTCTCAAAGTCGCATGAGGCGGCCGCCCGACGCGGCCCTTCAGCCAGCCCTCACAACCCGGGCATGCACCCGCACACCCTCCTCTCGCGCATGCCGATGCGCTCAGTCGATGCGGTCGTGGTGCTGCAACTCTGCAGCGCTGCGACCGCACCGGTCTCCCGCGTCGCCGCCTTCGGTCCTGCCGCTCCCGCCAGCTCCGCTGCCCGCCGACGCGGTGGTACGCGCGCTCTCCGGATCCCGTCCGAGGGGCGGAGGCTCGAGCGTTGGTCCCGGGCGAGCCGCCAGACTCGAAGACGGCACCCCTAACCGCGTCCCCATCCTTAGCTTCTGTTCTTTCCTCCCCGTGAGCCGTCTCTGTCGCGAGACCGCCGAGTGTGTGCCCTCGTGAGTCCGTCGGGTACTTTTCGCGTATAAAAATTGGCTGCGCGGGCGTTCCATCTGGTGCTACCAACGGCCTGGCGGCCTCGGATCCGGCCTCGCAGGTCGACGCGAGCGCCAAGGTGGACCTGTCTCCAGCCTCTCGCGCCCCTCTCGGAGCCGTGAGAGGGTGCAGGCCGAAACCACAGCCGCTAACGTCCGTGTGGCCGAACGGAGCCAAACTTTCGCCGCCGGATCCCGGGCCACGGGTAATGGCACCGATCCCGCATTTTCCCCGGGGCTTACTCGACGCTCTTGTGCCCCGAACTTTCCTCTCCCCGTCCCGAGCACGACCAGAGCTGCTCCGGCGTGGTTTGGAGCGAGGTACGGGTGGCGGCGGGTTCGAGTAAGCCCCGGGGAAAATGCGGGATCGGCGCCATTCCATAGGTGCTCCAACGCCCTAGCCGGCTCGGGAGCACTGTCCTGCCCGTTATATACGCACCCGCTTACGCTTTTAGGCTCTCCGGCGGCCTCAGGGGCCTTGCCGAGGGCTGCTCCAGCGCGGTCACAGTGCCGTGGAGCCGGCCAGCGTGCTCGCAGCCATGCTGCTGGTGGACCATGCCCGCCTCCCGCCCGGTGGCTCCAACCACAGCCCGCCTCACCGTCGGCGAAGCACCTCGGGCCCTTCGCGGCTGCGTTGTCTGTCCGGCTCCACGGGGCCTTTCCGAGACACTTCCGCGCGGGCCGAGGGACTCATCGACCCCTCACATCCCGGAGGGACGGCGCACGCGCTGCCCAGTGACCGGGCGGGTCGGCCCCGATTAGGAGCGGCCCCAGCCGGGCGGAGAAGACCATCCCACTCGCGGTGCGTCGCACCGGCCGGTCCGGTTTTCGTCTCGAGCGGGTCGCGAGACGGCCGCGAGAGCGAGCACCGCGGTCACAGTGCCGTTGAGGCCACGGACGTCGCCGGAGCGGCACTCCCGGGGCGCCACTCCCTCACCCGGTCGGGGGGGGGGCAACCACAGCCCGCCTCACCGTCCGTGGAGCTTCCGTGGTCCGCTGCTCCGGCTTCGATTTTCGACCCTCCCGAGGCTGCTAGAGCAGCCCCGCGGAGCCTCCCGGATGCACCAGCACACCGTCGTCCAGGACGACGGCGCAAGCGCTGCCCAGTGATCGGGCGGGTCGGCCCCGACTAGGGGCGGGCCCAGCCGCGCGGAGAAGACCACCGAGCTCGAAACACGTCGCCACGGCCGGCCGTTTCGCAAGCCTGAGCGGGTCGCCAGACACCCGCGAGAGCCAGCAGCTAGAGCGCCGTCGTAGCCGCAGATCGAGTCGAGGAGCTTAATGTCCACGGTAGCAGTTGTGGAGAGCGGTGGCGCGGTGCGTGTAGAGGGGTCGATCGAGGGCTCTTTTTCGAAACGCGACGGGTACGGCATGACAACTGCCAGTACAGTTTTACGCCGGCCAGGGTGAGAGCACAACAGGGAGCCGGCGACCCGTACGCTTTACGCGTGGCGGCCGGTGGCTGTCTGGAGCTCGTGCGAGCTGGGCCGACGCGTGGCCGAGCCGAGAGGACCAGCGAGCGACCACGTTGGCGATGAAGCTTGGCGGCCGGCGCCTCGTCGCCAGACGTCACAGCGGCGTGGACGCAGGAGTGTGCGGCGACGAGTACCGGCAAATCCGGCCCGGTGTGGCCGGCAGCTGCATAGCGCTGGCCTGTGACCGGCGCCGCGGTGGCGGAAGAGGCGTCTCGCCGCCGTGGCGGCGGTCGGCAGGTGCGAGCGTGACGGCCATCGTGCGGCAGAGTCCGGGCACAATTTAACAAAACAACTCTCTCACAGCACACAGGCTCGACACAGGTGCGAACTGGCGCGTGCTAGTACTATCACCGGCGAAGAACCACCTTAAATCGCCCATACGGTCTTGTGCGTTGTGGTGCGTGTACCGAACTCCGCGCGACGCGGTTCCATTCCGCATTCGGCCGTCGCTGACAACGTGGCAGTTCCTATCGCTTCGTAAGGTACAAGTGCTTCCAGTGAACAGCGACGCGCTGCGACAGTGAGCTGGACAGTTCTCCTGCCAGACGGCGATCATTGGTCACGTACAAGAACGGCACGTCAGGAGGCTCTGCGCTGTGTAGCTCCTGCGCCCTGGCAACCATGAGGCGGTCGGCCGCGTCGTTGGTGGGATCCGGAGTAGTCTCGTGGAATGCACGCCGGCCGGCTGCTTGACTACAGAAGTCGTTCACATGTCTAAGCACCTTCTGTCCGCCCGAAGGGTACACAGAGCAGCTGAAGAAGCGCACCTCGAAACTCTGCGGCATCTCTGCAATTCGCTGCATGTGCTTTGCCTGGGAAAACTGGTCTGCGTCCACAAGCACAATGACGCGCAATTCGCCCAATGCCGCCTCTGGTGGAACGCTTGCAGCGGAGGTGGCAGTGGCGCCTTCGTGTAGACGACGCTTAATCTCGTCGAGCCGCCGCCGACATTTGCTGACCATATTACACTAGGCGTCGGCGGAGCCCCGCGACCGGCGAGCGAGTCCGGCGACGGGTGACCGGCGCGGGAGTATGCTGGGGTCGCGAGTAAGCAAGGCGACGCTAACCGGTCTTCTGAATATAAAATGAACTATAGCACGGGACGCGGCACAAACGGGGCACAAACGCCAGGCTACAAAGACGGGGAGGCACGTAGTGACGCAGGGGAGTCTAGGCGACGGCGGCGTCCTCCGACGCCGCGGCGAGCCTGAGCTCGGTCGCAATCTCTTCCGCCGCCGCGAGGCGCGAGCTGCAGCGCGACTGACATGCGCTGGGCCTGCAGCGACAGCCACGACCGCGTCGACCAGGTCGCCTCGTCCTCGTGCTGCCGCTTCGAGAGCTTGTTGCGCACCTTGTCCTTCATCTGGTAGAACAGCCGTTTGACCGCGTTGCACCACCCGCCGAAGGTTTCAAACAGGTCTACTGAAGAAAGAATTTAGAAATTCTTGGCACAGGCCCCTCTCACAGCTGAAGAAAGAAAAGAAGGAAGACAGGTCTACTGAGGCGGCGCGACCTCGCTGGCCGCGATTTCTTTTCTCCTTAGGTTTTCGAGGTGGATACAGTTGTATATCCTTTGGCCGCGTTGGGTTCTTTTGAGCTAGCCTTCGATGCGCTCTTGCGCTCCTCGGACCTCGAGCGCAATCCATAAGTAGGAGACGCCCACTGTCGCCATAGATTCTCAGGCGCCTGATCTCTCTCAGCAAAGCGATGGCCTATACCTGGTACGAGTTCAGATGCGCGCCCGGCAGAAGACAGACGCGTGTGATGCCGCATGCAGTGGAATGCGCACAGTCCACAGAGAACGGACGGCAAGAGATGGCAAGGGAAGGAAGAGAAACGGCTGGTGAAGCTCAGTTCATGGCGTAGTATTGCGTAAGCAACCGCGGTCACTCACCATCCACGGCAAGAGTCACGGTGAATGCTGCCGCATAAAGCAACAGAGTCGACGCGCTTGGCGCGACGGTCTTGTCGCGGTTCACGACTTGACGTTGCACACGGTCATAGGCGCAGGATCTATTTGGCGAGTCTCAAGCAGCGAAAGTAGGCGCGAGAAATTAATGTCGATCCTGAGATCTCAATTTTGGCGCTAGTTTCGTTTTCTGGTACATCACGACGACTTGCTTGGGTCTCATGTAGCTCGACGGCTCTTCGACGGCGGGGTCTTTCTGGTTGGATCAGACAGTGCTATCAGTCAATCGGCGGAGCGCGGGTGCTGCGCTTCTCCCCGCCCGCGACCGGCGAGCGACCGAGTCCGGCGACGGGTCGGTCGGGGTGTGGGGTGACCGGCAGTCGCGCTCCCAATACGTGCATCACTTTTGTGACAGGTCTCAGACTTTGAGCGGCCATATCTCGGTAACTATTGATGGTCCACCTGAATGAAAACTCTTCGGATTTGGAACGGGCGCCCGGCGCCCGTTCGAATGGCGATGAGTTCTCCGGGGCGGCGCGGGGGGGAGTAGTGTATTGTGTAATTAGGGGGTAGACAGCGGAAGAAAGAAAGAAAGAAAGAAAACAGACACGCCAAACGAGGGATGGGACGAGGACAGGGTCCCCACCTGCACGAGCAGGATTTTGGAAGAACGATCAGGGGGACAGGTGGGGCTCTCCTGCTCCTGACAGCGGACAGCACCAAGATCCACTAGTTTGGGATTTTTTAATTTGCTTGACTCTGAAAAGCTCGCGCTGTGGTCGCCGCAGACTGGCTCCGGCTTGACGGGCGCATGGAGACGTGATGCCTCCATGCGCCCGTCGAGTCAAAATCGACATGCGAGGCGAGCTTTGGCCCGCCAGAGGGATAGGCGGCGTTTTGGGCGACAACAGCGCTGCGACCGCGAAGTGGCAGTGGACATGCTCCCATGTTGCCGACGCGGCGCCGGAGTGGCCGGCGCTGCTCGCCGCGACCACGACGGCTACTCTGATACTCTGGGCCGACCCGTCCTACCCGACGGTGGCACTCTTCCACGTCTCGCTCATGAGAAAAATTCTGAAACGGCGTGCAGCAGAGTCACCGACGAGTCGGTCCGCGTGCCTCCTCGTGTCCCAATCCGTTCTCACACATCCATAAACTCACTTTGGCCCCACTGAAGCCTCAATCCTGTCCACCCCCTACGCGGCGCCCTAGTCGCTAGCGAGTGAAAGCCGTAATGTCTAATGTGGGGCGCCGTCGGCGTCGCGTGGGACCGTGGGTAAGAGCGGCGCGACAGGTGAGGGTCGGGGGAGGGCGCTGCCGCCCGATTTCTTTTTGTTTATTCTAATGAGAAAAAACTCCTGCGGTTTCCATTGAGTTTTTCTCTCTTTTTCCGCGAGGCGAGACGAAGGCACCCCCCCTCAGATGGCGGCGGCGGCGGCGAGCAGAAGCGCCGCAAACACGCCCGCCGTCCGCGCCACCTTCGGCCGCCCGCCGTCCGCGTCGCCGCCTCGGCTCGCCTCGCGCTCGCGAAGGGCGGCCAGCTTCGCGCGCAGCGCCGCCAGGCCGCCGCCACCCTCCCTGGACTCGGGCCCCGCTGCCGCCGCTCCAGGCTCCGAGGCCGCTGCCGTCGCCGCGTCGCCGCTCGCACCTCCTCCTCCTCCTCCTCCGCCGCCGCCGCCGCCGCCACCGCCGCCGCCGCCGCCGCCGCCGCGCGCTGCCCTCGCTGGCTCAGGCGCGTGCTGCGGCTTCTCCCAGCTCGTCTCGCCCGACTCCTCGTTCCAGTAGTACGTGCGGCCGCTCTCCTTGTCCAGTGCGGCGCGCCACGGCGAGGGAGTGTCGGGCGGAGAGCCGCGCGAGGGCGGGGAGGGGGCGCGGCGCGCGCTGCCACCGCGCGCGGACGCGTCCTCGCGCGCGGCGCGGGAAGGGAGGGGAGGCAGCAGCGCGCGGCCGCGTGCTGCGAGAGACGAGGCGTTGAGAGCGCGCGGCCTGCGCCGGACCTCCGCCTGAACGACCGCCCGCTCCGCCGCTGCGCCCGCCGCCTTGCCCGCCGCCTGGCCTGCCTCCGCGTCGGCTGCCTCGTCCGTCGCACGCACCGCCGCCCGATCCACCTTCCGGCCGCGTTGCGGCGCCGCCTCGCCGAGCTCGCCGAGCAGAAGCAGCTCCGACTCGGCCGCGGCGCGCATGGCGCGGTCGCGCAGCTGGCGGCGGACGCGCTGCGCCCGCGGGTCGCCGGCCGCCGCCGCGTCCGCGGTCGCGCAGTCCAGCCGTAGCCTCGCCGCCAGCCGGGCCGCGCCGCACCGCAACAGCAGCCGGTGCGTCGCCCGCGCCGGCGGGGCGAGGCGCGCCGTGGCGGCCTCGTGGACGACGTCGCGCACCTCCGAGTTGGAGAGGTAGCTCACCTGGACCCTCGAGGGGACAGCGAGCGCGGCGAGCAGGAAAAGCGTGGCAGACATGGACACCAGCACCGGCAGACGAGCCGCCGCCTCCCAGCACCTTCGAGCCGGTACCTGAGCCCCTCGGCGGCGTGAAGCGCTACGCGACCAACTCCGCCGAGTACAGGAAGGCCTTCTGGGAGGTCTTCCACTCCGTCCCCAAGGCGCGCGCCATGTCCGTGGACGGCGTCAGCTACGAGGAGCTCGAGTTCCTGCACTACTCGGGCCCGGACGTGAGGGAGATCCTGTTCGACATCGTGGCCGCCATCAACCAGGGCAGGGTGCACGACAGCGCCGCCGCGCTCTGGGGCGACCTCCAGCTGCTCGGGATCGAGAAGCGAGACGACATGGGCAACGTCACCGGCACCCGCCCCATCGGCATCCCTGCAGCCATCCGCCGCCTCGCCAACCGGGTCCTCATGAAACACCGCAGCTCTGACATGTGCGACCTGTTTACCGGCCGCACCGCCGACTCGCGCCGCCTCATTGTCGACGACATGCGCGAAATCTGCCGCCGCCCGCTCGCGGAAGGCGGCCTGGGCATGTCGGAGGAGGAGGCGGAGGCGCGCGTCAAGGACTGCAACATCCCTCTGCAGGTTGGCGTGGGCCTCGCAGGCGGCGCCGAGGTCGCCGTGCAGCTTCTGTCAGAGCACCTGCGGCGCAACCCGGGCCACGCCGTCGCCTCGGACGACAAGAAGAACGGCTTCAACTCCATCTCACGAGAGGCCATCTTTGCTGGCCTGCGTCGCTGGTACCCCGAGCTCATCCCACACTGGGAACCACACACACACACATGCGCCGAGCGCCGGAACTGGTTGCCCCCCACCCGTCGAACACGGCCGTGTTCGACGCGTGTTCGACGCTCTGCCCCCGTGTTCGACGGGGGTGCTGGACGGCGCGGGGGGCTTGCCCTCCGCGCCGTCCGAGGTTGCGGGGATGGCCACCAACCAAGCCGTGGGCGCCGGACCATCGGCCTCCACGGCGGCAACGTCTTCAGCAACCCCAGCTCCTCTGTATGTGCCGCACACCTGGCGCGGCGTGCCCTATGGAGCGCCGGCGCTGCAGGCGACAAAGCACCGGTTCCCTTGCATTGGCGCGAGGTGTGCCGCTCAGTCGATGATACACGACCCGCCGACCCTCTGCCAGCCCTACTTCGACTCCAGTCGCGAGCCCGGGGACAGGTACCGCTTTCAGAGGATGTGCGGGGCGTGTTGGAACGCTGGCGCGCAGCTGTGGTACTCGGCGGCAGAGGCGGCACAGGCGGCTGCGACTGCAGCGGCGGCTGCGAGCGCGGCGGCCATTAGTGCGGAGCTCGACGCGATCCCCGATGCAGTGCTGGAGGTGGCGGTGCGGCAGGCAGAGGGAGGCGAGGCGGCGGCGGCTTCAGACGACGACGCATTGCCGCCCGACGACAGCTATCTTGCCGCCGCGTCGGGAGACGAGGCGGAGGACGCCGAGCCGCTGCCGCCGCCGCCGCCGCTACCACCGCCGTCTGACCAGCCGCAGCCGGCGCCCCTCGTCGTGCCACCCCCGCCGCTTCCGCTCACCGATGAGCAACGGTCGGCCGCACCAGTGGCGTCACCGTCCCATCTCTCCACCGCATCTCCGCAGCCCGAGCCGGAGTACATGTCGACGGACGACGAGCGTGGCTTGGCCAAGCGGTGACGGAGGCGATCGGAGCGCTCCGCGAGGCGGGATGAAGAAGGGGCTCGCTGGTGGCCCTTTTTTGTGTGTCTCGTTTCGTTTTCCCCGCCGTCTACGTACCGTCTTCCGTGTCCCCGGTGTGGGACAGGGGGGTGGGGGCGCGCGCCCTGCGCGGTACTCTGACTCCTGTCGCATCAGACCTCAGCGCCGCAACCCTGTAAAACCGTGTAACAAACGGGTAACCCCCTTACGTCCCGGCGCTCCCTGGAGCTGTAGCCGGCACAAGCGCTACCCCGCACACACACCGGCACACGGGGAGAGGGGTCACGCCCTCAGTCCCCGACCAACGGGCAGGCAGCCCTCTCATGCTAGCGGCTAAAGAGCCGTACACGGCTTTAGCGCCTCGCTATCCTTGCCGTCTCTCCCCGCGGCCTCCGCATACGTTGCGGTCGCGGCGGCGTCACATCACCGCCTTCATCGCCCCCATCGCCTCGAGAAGTTGCCCATCGACTTGCGGAGGATCTGCAGCGGGGTAAACTCTTGAGGCACGGGACGCCGATCACGCCCCAGTCGTGTCCGGCTTGGATTACAATGTGGGAGCCGACCGAATTGTCGGGCGCCAGCGTTTCGTCGTCCATCGTGGTCACGGGCATGGGCGGCCCCAGGCGGGAAGCGGACTGCATTGCCCTGCCGAGGTGGAATTGCTGCTCCTTCAGCACCTCAAAGTGGCCCGTCATCATCCAACACTTCTTGGGCCGCGGGCCGCGTCCTCCGGCGTCATCAGCGCGGGGGAGACAAGGATGCTCTTGCCGGTCCACTCCTCCTCCGTGAGGTACGTTTTGATGCCGCTCATTTCCAGGTCGCCCCAGAGCGGCGGGCGGTTGTGCTGCCGTTAAGGAGGTTGCCCGGGTACGAGGCGGGTCCAGCCGTCACTAGTGCCGGGCGTCATCAAGGGCAAGCACAACCTCGAGCACCTCTCCCGAGCCAACGTCGAGTACCTGACCCGTGCGCTCCCCCCCCCCTCCAGCACACACCCGCCGCGCCGCTGATCAGGCACCCTTCCCGACGACGGCACCTCGGACACGGCGTCGACGCGGTTGAAGGCGCACGGGCTGCCAAGCCAGCTGGCCAAGAGCCCCAACCTGCTCTGCGAGGAGTTGCGCGCGCGCGAGGCCGAGTGGCGGCTGCATGCGTCGCTGCGCGAGGTCAAGTTGACGCGCTACCGCCACGGGCGGGCTCACGCCACAGCGACGCCACGTGCCGCCGGACCGCCACCTCGGTCGTGAGAGCGATTGGGAGGTCGGGGCCGAGAGTGATAACCTACTCACCTGCCTCGTTTGTCGCATCAGGATCAAGCTCATCCTGAAGATGGAGGGCGGGCACTTCATCTTCCGCGGCGCCGACGGACGGCGCCCCCGCCTGTCACCGTCTCGGCCCCAGGGGGTGTCAAGTATGTTACATCATAAAGTCGCCGAAGATTGCCGCTCAAGAAGCAGCAAAGAGAACCGGGAACAGGAGGATGCTGAGGCGGCGATTGGTTTGCTGAGCATGAGGAGGATCGATCGCCCGCCGCAGGCGAAGAAAATTTGGGGCTGCGCCATATCGTTATCACGGTGCGGGAGCCTCTCTCTGAAACTCGGCCCCAGGCCGTGCCACGTGCCACGGGCACGGCCGACTTAGCCGATGTAAGAGGCTCCCGCTGATGCCGCGCAAGCACTCCAGCGTGGCTAGCCACACTTAGACCCGCTAGGCCTCGAGGTGTACGAGGCTAGAACTTAGACTACTACCCAACTAGAGTACAGTGCTACTGTCGTACTCTGGTTCTCTATATAAGCTACAACACATCTTTTGGGGTTCTTGTTCTGCACCGCGCAGCGTGGAGTCTGTGTGCTCTTGGGCGCGTTTACGGTTTCCCCCCGCCCGTCTCTGGAGGTCGCCTTCGTTCACGATCCTCTCGAAACGATAGACAATACACAATGATTCAAGCCCAGTGCTGACGCAGAGCGTGCTGCGTGGTTACTAGCAGTACGTCCACCAGATCGTTCTGAAGGATTCGGCGCGAGTGCAGTCGGCCGAGACCAGGCAGTAGCCCTGTGAAACCGCAGTGGCCCCGGTGCACGCAGAAGTGCAAGGGCAAGCTTGCACAGGGCGCTGTTGCGGCGAGAGCAGCGGCTGGGGCGGTGACGGCCAGGGTGGCAAAGATGGCTGCGACGGAGAGGGCGGTATGGGCGGTAGCGGAAAGGGAGGCACTGTTAACGGTTGCGGCGGAGGCGCTGATGGTGGCGGCTGCACAGGTGGCCAACGGGGAGAGGGCGGCGCGGGAGAGGGCGGCGGAGAGGGCAAGGGCGGCGGCGGCGGCGAGGGCGGCGGCGGCGAGGGCGGTTGAGACGGAGAGGGCGACGGCGGCGGCGGCGGCGGCGGCTGCGGAGGAGTTGGCGGCAGCGGAGGAGGTGGCGAGTGTGACGGCGGCGGCGAAGGAGAGTGCGGCGGCGGCGACAGAGGCGATGGTGGCGGTGGCGACGTGGGCGGCGGTGGCGAGGGAGAAGGCGGCGGCGCCGGCGGAGGCGAGGGCGGCGGAGAGGGAGACGGCGGCGGCGGCGGCGGTGGCGAGGGCGGCGGTGGCGAGGGCGGCGGCGAGGGCGAGGGCGGCGGCGGCGACGGAGAGGGCGGAGAGGGCGGCGGGGGCGGCGGCGGCGGCGGCGAGGGAGAGGGCGGGGGTGATGGCGAGGGCGATGGACCCAAAGGCGGCGGCGGCAACGGTGGTGGCGGCGGAGGCGGAGGCGAGGCCAGAGGCGGTGCCGTCACTGTGATCTGAGCATTCATGCAGTCAGGGGACGAGCAAAAGTAGGGTACTCGCGGCGGCGGCGGCGGCGGCGGCGAAGGAGTGGGCGGCGGCGGAGGAGGTGGCGAGTGTGGCGGTGGCGAGGGAGAGTGCGGCGGCGGCGGCAGAGGCGACGGTGGCGGTGGCGGCGCGGGCAGCGGTGGCGACGGAGAAGGCGGCGGCGGCGGAGGCGAGGGCGGCGGAGAGGGAGACGGCGGCGGCGGCGGCGGTGGCGAGGGCGGCGGTGGCGAGGGCGGCGGCGAGGGCGAGGGCGGCGGCGGCGGCGGAGGCTGGGGCGGTGGTGGCGAGGGCGGCGGCGACGGAGAGGGCGGCGGCGGCGGCGGCAGCGGCAGCGGCGGCGAGGGAGAGGGCGGGGGTGATGGCGAGGGCGATGGACCCAAAGGCGGCGGCGGCAATGGTGGTGGCGGCGGAGGCGGAGGCGAGGCCGGAGGCGGTGCCGTCACTGTGATCTGAGCATTCATGCAGTCGTGGGACGAGCAAAAGTAGGGGTACTCGCCGGGCTCATCGAAGGTGTACGAGTATGTTGCGCCACTCTCGAGCCACGGCGACGCGAACTGAAAGTCGAAGAACGGGCGCGTCCCGCTCACAATGTCGTAACCGGCGTCCCCAGCGGAGAGCCACGTCACCGTGTCGCCCACATGGATTATGAGCGAGGCGTTGGGGCAGTCGCCGCTCGGCCCAATGCACGAGCCGCACGAGGCAGCCGACCAACGGATCACGTGCAGGCGACTCTCCATGTACACATCCGTCGAGCGCGCTGCTGTTGCTGCAGCGCGCTCCGCTTCTAGCAAGGACACTGACAGGAGCGTGGGTGGCGGCCGGGGTGAGGGCGGCGGCGGAGAAGGCGATGGAGGCGGTGGCGAGGGTGGTGGAGAGGGAGAGGGCGGCGGCGGCGGCGGTTGCGAGGGCGGCGGTGGCGAGGGTGGCGGCGACGGAGAGGGCGGCGGCGGCGGCGGTGGCGAGGGCGGCGGTGGCGAGGGTGGCGGCGAGGGAGAGGGCGGCGGCGGCGGCGGCAGCGGCGGCGGCGGCGATGAGGGCGGCGGCGGCGACGGAGAGGGCGGCGATGGCGAGGGGGGTGGAGGCGGCAGTGGCGAGGGCGGCGGCGGAGGCGGCGGCGATGGAGAGGGCGGCGACGGAGAGGGCGGCCTCGGAGAGGGCGGCCTCGGAGAGGGCGGTGGAGGCGGCAGTGGCGAGGGCGGCGGCGGAGGCGGCGGCGGCGGCGACGGAGAGGGCGGCGACGGAGAGGGCGGTGGCGGCGAGGGTTGTGGCGGTGAGGGCGGCGGTGAGGACGGCAGTGAGGGCGGCAGTGAGGGCGGTGCTGTGGGTGGTGGCAGTGAGGGTGGCGGCGGCGCTGGCGGCGAGGGCGGCGGCGGTGAGGGGGGCGTTGGTGGTGAGGGCAGTGTCGAGGGTGGCGGCGTCGACGGCAGCGGCGGCCGCGAGGGAGGCGGCGAGGGCGGCGGCAAGGGCTGCGGCGAGGGCGGCGGTGGCGCAGGTGGTGGCGGCGAGGGCGGTGGAGGTGAAGGCGGCGGCGGTGAGGGTGGTGGCGGTGAAGGCGGCGGCGGTGAGGGTGGTGGAGGAGCGGGAAGCGGCGGCGTGGGTGGGGGCGGCGCGGGAAACGGCGGTGGCGGCGTTGGCATTAGCGGCGATGGCGAGGGCGACGGCTGCGCGGGCGGCGGCGGCGAGGGCGGCGGCGTTGTGGGCGGCGGCGAGGGAAAGGGAGGTGGCGGCGGCGGTGGCGGTGGCGGCGGCGGCAAGGGTGGCAGCGACGGAGAGGGCGGTGAGGGCGGCGGCAGCGACGGAGAGGGCAGCCTCGGAGAGGGCGGTGGAGGCGGCAGTGGCGAGGGCGGAGGCGGAGGCGGCGGCGGCGGCGAGGGCGAGGGCGGCGGCGGCGAGGGCGGTGGCGGCGAGGGCGGTGGCGGCGAGGATGAAGGCGGCGGCGGTGAGGGTGGTGGAGGAGCGGGAAGCGGCGGCGTGGGCGGTGGCGGCGCGGGAAACGGCGGTGGCGGCGTTGGCAATAGCGGCGGTGGCGAGGGCGACGGCTGCGCGGGCGGCGGCGGCGAGGGCGGCGGCGTTATGGGCGGCGGCGAGGGAAAGGGAGGTGGCGGCGGCGGTGGCGGGGGCGGCGGCGGCGAGGGTGGCAGCGACGGAGAGGGCGGTGAGGGCGGCGGCAGCGACGGAGAGGGCAGCCTCGGAGAGGGCGGCAGAGGCGGCAGTGGCGAGGGCGGAGGCGGAGGCGGCGGCGGCGGCGAGGGCGAGGGCGGCGGCGGCGAGGGCGGTGGCGGCGAGGGCGGTGGCGGCGAGGATGAAGGCGGCGGCGGTGAGGGTGGTGGAGGAGCGGGAAGCGGCGGTGTGGGCGGTGGCGGCGCGGGAAACGGCGGTGGCGGCGTTGGCAATAGCGGCGGTGGCGAGGGCGACGGCTGGGCGGGCGGCGGCGGCGAGGGCGGCGGCGTTATGGGCGGCGGCGAGGGAAAGGGGGGTGGCGGCGGCGGTGGCGAGGGCGGCGGCGAGCGTGGCGGCGATGGAGAGGGCGGTGAGGGCGGCGGCGGCGACGGAGAGGGCAGCCTCGGAGAGGGCGGTGGGGGCGGCAGTGGCGAGGGCGGCGGCGGAGGCGGCGGCGGCGGCGAGGGCGAGGGCGGCGGCGGCGAGGGCGGTGGCGGCGAGGATGAAGGCGGCGGCGGTGAGGGTGGTGGAGGAGCGGGAAGCAGCGGCGTGGGCGGTGGCGGCGTTGGCGATAGCGGCGGTGGCGAGGGCGACGGCGTTATTGGCGGCGGCGAGGGAGAGGGCGGCGGCGGCGGCGGTGGCGAGGGCGGCAGCAGCGAGGGCGGCAGCGGTGGGTATGGAGTTGTAGCGGGCAGCGGCGGGGGCGGTGGCTGCTCGATGCTGCAGCGTCGCCATCGCGTGCTCTCAGAGAAGGACAGGGACTCATTGCAGTCGGCCGAGACCAGGCAATAGCCCATGGAGAGGGGTGTGGCTCCGAAGCACGCAGAGGTGCAAGGACACAGCGAGGGCGGTGAGGGCGGCAACGGTGCGGGTAGTGGCGGTGATGGCGCCCACCACTCTGGCGGTGGCGGCGGCGGGGGCGAGGGAGGCCGAGGTGCATAGCCGGTCATCGGAACCGCATTCCCTCCTGGGCGGCCGTCAGTGATCCCCGGCATCGGTCGACTCGACAGGTTGTGCTGGGGAAGAGGAAAAGGCTCGTGCGTCTGTGGCGGCGGCGATAAAGAGGCCGGTGGCGGTGGTGGGAGCGATGGCGAGGGCGTCTCGGTTGAAGTCTCTGACCTCTCCCCCGATGCGAGATCGCCAAGGCCCGAGCCATAGTCACCTGAGCTGAAATCTCCCGAGCCAACCTCGTCACCCGATGCGAAGTCGCCCTGTGCGTCCTCTCCAGAGTCGTCTCCAGAGGCGTAGTCCCCATCGGCGTCCAGCTCCAGGGCATCATTGTCTGGGTTTCCGCTGCCGGTCGCAAAGGACGGTGGCGGTGGTAAGGGCACAGGAGATGGTGGCGGCGATGGCACGTCGGATGGTGGCGGCGAGGGTGCGCCGGACGGTGGTGGTGAGGGTGCGCCCGACGGCGGTGGAGAGGGCGCACCTGGTGGTGGCGGCGGTGCTGGTGGCGGCGATGAAGGCAGCGGTGGGAGTGAAGGTAGAGGTGTCGACGGCAGCGGCGGCGGAAGTGGGGGCTTCGCGGGCAGTGGAGACGGCGAAAGAACCGGAAGCAAGGGAGGTGGCGACGGCAAAGATGGCGGCGTTGGCGCCTTGCCAGGTGCAAACGGCGGCGGCGGCTCGTACACGCACTCGCCAACAAGCGGTCCCGGGCCGTTGATGACGAGGCCTGCACCAGCCAAGCCTGGTTGATCGCTAAGCGTGTTGTTAGCGCTCGTCGAGGGGGTGTTCCCCAGGCGCATCGAAAGGTCCAGGTACAGCTTCGAGAACGGGCCCATTAGCTTCACGGAGACCGTGGAATCCAGCGCGACCTGGGACCAAGCATAGCCGTAGATGTTCGAGAGATTGCCATCGCAGGAAGGGCACTTTAGCGGAGTGCGATCTGTGCAGCCGTCCGTCTCGTGCTCTCGCGCGCTAATCTCTACGTAGCCGAGGGATTCGCTCTTCCACAGCTTCTTTGAGTCCTGATTACTGCAGGTGGTGGCGTTGCCGCACGACGTGCAGATGACGTCCTCGACCGTGACATCTGCACCTCTGACTGCCAGTGCCTCTGCCTTTTCGGCAGGGGGGCCTTTTGGGTCGCCGTCTATGTCGAACCACGACAGGTAGGTGCCAAATATGCTATACGCCGTGTTGGTGCCCGCAACCACAAACTCGAGCCCCAGTGTCGCCCTGGTCCCAACAGCGACCTTGTAGTTGAAGGCGCCACACTGGGTTCTGCAGCCTGGGTCTCGGGCGCCCTCGCATACCTTCTGCAAGATGCACGACCCGTCGTCGCATGCAAAAGACTCCCCGTCGGCGTCCGTCTCTGGAACGAACTTGACGACCAAGTCGAACACCACTCCTTGGTGCTCGCCCAGCCGCGACAGCCGGACGCCGTCCGTCGAGGTGAGATTGCCGGTAATGCGGTCATCAAGGAGCCGCTTTTGGCCGGTGTCGCTGTATGGGTCGTCGTCGCAGTACTCGGCAAAGTCCAGCTCCACGAGCCTGGTGTCGCAGGCCGCCAACGCGTTTGGTGTCAAGGGCGGCGGCGGCGATGAGGGCGGGGGCGGCGAGGGCGGCGGAGGGGAGGGCGAGAGCGAGGGCGGCGGCGGCGTGGGCGGCGGAGGGGCGGGCGGCGGCGGCGAGGGCGAGGTGGAGGGCGGCGGCGTCGTGGGCGGCGGAGGCAGAGTCGGGGGAGGCGATTCCGGAGGCGAGACGCATGCACGCAGCAATAGTTTGGTGTCGCTTGCGCGAGAGGTGCCAACGCACTCCTCACTGGCGGGGAAGCAGCAGCCGTTTGATTCAACGACCACGAGCTCGGCGCAGCCGCCCAAGCCCACGCACGCTGCCTTGCACTGGTCGAGGGTGAGTTACGTCGGCGGCGAGCCGCGTCGCCAGCCGTCTCGCGAGAGAGCGGCGCCGCCGCGTGCGCGCAGCAGCCGCCGCGGCAGAGACGAGCCGCGGCGACGGCCGCACAACCGATAACTGCCATTGGCGGTTTCACACACACACACACACACACACACACACACACACACACACACGCTACCTGCTCCGGCGACACTAGGGACTCGGGCCTGATCCCGCACAAAACATCTCCACACTCTCTCCTCTCCTATGACACGACTCTCCGACCTGGACTAGATTCCCATGTTTCACCACAAGCGCCACTGCTTCGCCGCGCGCTGCTTACAGCGTCAAGTGCGGCCCTTAGCTGAGTAGAACTCGAAGTGGGCGTCGAGGGGGCCTATAGTAGAGTGTGAGCCCGCGCGCTGCAAAGCGCTCGAGTGTGGGCGATGGCGCGAGCTGGGCCATGTACTAAAGCGTGTGACTGTTTCTGCCGTCTTTGAGGGGGTGTGGGCGTAGGAGTGGTGCTCTGCTACCCTTGCAGCCGAGCGCCTTCTCTCAGCTCCATTGCCTCTAGGGGGTTGTGGCCGTGGATTTGGCCCCCTAGCCCCCCTCTCCGAGAGCAGGCCTGTCCAGTCTGGGTGGGGCGGCGTTATAGCGCCGTCGTGGCGTGGATTATTCCTGCCGATGTTGGGGTGTTGCCGAGGTGGCGTGTCGGGGTGTCGCCGTACGCGGAGGGTGGTAGTCGCCTCTGGTCTCGAGGTGTGAATGGAGCTGTGTCAGCTCTGACTAGATCTCGCGTGATATCGCATATCGGCCGTGTTGGCGGTTTCAGCGTGCTTCAGGCGAGGGACTTGGTTGGTGAGGGCGCGGGTGGGGCGCGTCCGAGGGCTTGCGGGCGCGGGCGAGTGCCAAAGGTGGTGTGGCGCGCCTCAGACCGAGGTCTGTTTGCGCCTGGTCAGCTGGTGGGTGTGAACAGCACTGTGAAGGCGCGTGGCGGCGGGGTGAGAGTTGAGGAGCACTTGGAGCACTTGGAGTGCAGTTATCAACCTCACATCCAGGGCCGGGGAGCTCAGAAGCGCACCCAGCGGGCCGGATGATCGGGATCGGGTTACGGGCTAGAGAGCCCTAGGCCTAGCCCCGGGGGTGCGCGTTCGCAGGGAAAGGGCCGTAAAGTAAACACTGGTCTCCGAGGGTTAGTTCCGTGTACCGGGTTTCCCCTTAACTGCAGAACGCCCCCTCCTACTCGGAGCTAACGGACACACAACACTGTACTCCACGCACGTACACGGATACGCCTCATGTGCGCCCGCCCGACTCCGGTCCCAGAGTCCCTTCCTTCGCCCGTCAGGGCGAGTCCTCGGCTCGTCCCGCCCCCTTGCCCCGATCTAAATTCTTGTTTCGGTGAACGAGCTAGCGTGCGGGGACAGCGGCATTGTGCACGGAGCTAAGTGCATTGCCGTTCTTAACGGAGTCGCTTAGGCGGCTCCGGTGGTGTGCCGGTGATAGTACTAGCACGCGCCAGTTCGCACCTGTGTCGAGCCTGTCTGCTGTGAGAGAGAGTTGTCTTGTCAAAATTCTTGTGTGCGAGGGAGTTTTGTTGTAAGATTCTTGTTTAGCCCCGCTCGACGCCGAAGGGGTGGCCGAGCGGGGCAATTTGAGCGGTAGCCGTCCAGCCGACAATGGACGGCCTCGACGCCCTCTTGGCCGAGGCTGCGGCCGAGCGTGAGGTCAAGCGCTCGCCTCCGCCGCCGGTTGCCGCCGCCGCACCGAGAGTGGCACCAGTCGCACCGCCGCCAGCTTCCCACCAGCCTTCGAGTGAGGCTGCGTCGGAGCTGCACGCAGCACTGAAGGGGTACATCGCGCACCTGCTCTGCCCGGACGCGCTAGACGCGCTGTCGCTAGCTCTCGCGAGTCGCACGTACGCCGAGGTGGAGGAGTATATCGTCGCTCGGCCAGAGCTCTCTCGGTACACCCTCAGCGCAGAGGTTGGGCGGATGTCCTATACGGTCTTCCCTTCCGGCGGCGGGTCGCCCGTCACCGAGCCAGGGGCGATCCGCGCGTATTACGCCCGCCAGTCCGGAGACGCAGGACGCGACGGCGGCGGCGGCGGCGGCGGCGGCGTGGCCGCGTCTTCTTGCGGCGTGGCCGAGCTGCTGTGGCGCGCCGCCAACCAGAGCCTCTTCGGCGAGGTGCTCGGCAGCCTGCAGGAGGCGTGGCTTGAGCCGCGGCTGAGCACGTGCGTCGTCGCCACCGCCTCCTCGCTCAGGCTCGGCGTCATAACAATCGATCAGTGAATGGATTCATTGAACGTCACCGTCACCGCCTCCTCGCTCGTTGATTCTGAAGGAGCCGCCGCCTCCTCGCGCAGGCTCGACTTCAGGGACGAGACGCAGCCGCGGCTCGACGCCTCGTGCGAGCTGGCCCCGCAGAGACGCGCTCGGACGGAGCATCCACAGCTGCCCCGCTTCTTGAGAGTCGTCTTTATCTGTGTCGCAGGCCGTGCAGACGCTCGGCGCATCTGACGAGCCGCTCGTCCTCGCGACTATTAATTTACTTTTAATTCACGATTAATTAACTATTAATTAGGCGCATCTGACGAGCCGCTTGTCCTCGCGACCACTTCCTAGACACTTCCGAGACACTTCCGAGACACTTCCGAGACACTTCCTAGGCGCATCTGACGAGCCGCTTGTCCTCGCGACCACTCAGGCGGCCACTTGGCCACTTCCGAGACACTTCCGAGACGCCTCCTAGATCCCCGAGACACTTCCGAGACACCTCCTAGACACTTCCGAGACACTTCGGAGAGACTCGCCTCCGAGATGCCTCCTGACGCCTCCCAAGGCGCTGCTGTCCAGGCCATGCTGTCTACGCCAGCCTCCCCATTGCTGTCCGCCTCCCATTGCTGTCCGCCTCCCATTGCCGCCTAGGTCAGCGTCTCGCTGTCGCCCGCGCGGCGCGAGCTGCGGCGAGCTCGAGCTCCACCCAGCGATTACTAATCAACTTGTGATGACCTTTTAATGAGCTATTCATTAGGCGAGCTTGAGCTCCACCCAGCGGCCGCCGCAATGGCTGCGAACGGCGTCTCTTCACACGCCGCCGGTGTGAACAGGCAAGCGGTGGACAAGCCGCGGCTGGCGACGTACCGCGCGCACGGCGAGCGGCCTCGACGAGATTGCCCGAGATTAGTCGAGATTTCCCGAGCTCAGGTGCTGCATCTTCGACGAGCGAATCCTCGAGACGGCAGAGGCGATGGCGCGGTGGGAGGCCGCTTCGGGCGGCGGCGGCGGCGGCGGCGGCGGCGGCGGCGGCGGCGGCGGCGGCAGCGGGGAGGGTGGAGGGGCGCTGGGCGGTCTTGCTGCCGGGATCGGTCGTCTGATGCGGCCGGGTCGAGGAGAGGGAGAGGGCGGCGACGGTAGCGGCGGTGGCGGCGGCGGCGGCGGCGGCTGTGGCGGCGGCGGCGCTGGAGGCGGCGGCGACGGTGCGGGAGGTAGCGGCGGAATTCGCCTCTTGAGCTCCCTCAGCGCGATCGGTGGCAGCGTCGCTTCCGCCGCTTCGGGCCTCGCGCAGGAGTCGGCCAATCTCGGCCAATTCGGCTGATCTCGCCCGATCTCGGCCAAATCTCTGTTGACTCGGCCTCGGGCGCGCGCGTGCAGGAGTCGGTCTCGGGGCTGACGGCACTCGCGTCCGACGTTGGCACGGCCGCGGGGATCGGCCAGGCCACGCCGCAGAACGAGTGATGCGCCGAATTTCGATACTTGCACAATGCTACGGGCGTGGTATTCACAATGCTATGTGAACGCTCCTGTCCTTGCAGCTTGGTTGCACGTACATAGGAGGCGTGTAGTAATAACTGGTATGGCCTTCTAGTTTGGTCTTCTCGTGTTTTACTGCCTCGGCTGTCGGCAGCCGCCAGCATCTGAGTGTTCTCCACCGTCGCTCTGTTTCCATTCGCACATTACCACGTCTAATACCGGTATACTATACTATACGTCAGTAAGTTACTTGATCACGAACACGCGCGCCAAAGACTAGTATGTAGTATACTCCGCCACGTCGAAAGTGGAGCGAAAACTCAGCCTTGAGTTCTCAGCGCCCTCACGGCCCGCCAATGGCAAACCCGACTCCCTCCGTGTGGCGCCGCCCGATGGTGTTGGGAACCCTATTCCGGAGCGATTTCCCCTAGGGTTAGCGCAGAAAAAGCCGGCCCCCTTAGCTCCGGCTAGGGCTAAGGGGCCTCCGCGGCCGACCACGAGGGAGGGCCGACTTTGGCTTAGCATAGCGGGCCGAGAAAGCCGCCCACACCCGCGAGGATGGTTGTGTGGTTGCCTCCCCGACTCGGACGGCCGCCTCAGAGGGCGGGTATGCTTCCTCTCGCCCTCTCACCCGCGGGAGATGGCCGAGTCCACGGAGCCGCACGCTGCCTCTCCTTGGACGCAAGGCTCCGACTTCTATAGAGAAAACCCCATCTGCACCAGCGTTTTAAAGTGAAATCGTCAAGAGAAATCGATGCCCCGGGCTGGGCTTTGGGGTAGGCAGCCACCCTTTCGAAGGTGAGGCGTAAAGCCGTATCTGCCGACCTGTGAAGACGCTTTACTTGCGAGCAGTGCGTGGACCAAATGGCGCGAGAGCACCGCAACATGGCTAAGGAGGCAGGGAAGCTTCTGCTCCGAGACGGCCGCTCAGGACCGCAAAATGGTGTTCCTCAAGGTTGTCGTGTTGATCGGGCTGGCCAGTCCCCGGGGCCTGACGGTCCAAGCTCCAAGGTTTCCCTCAAGAGTACTTCTCCCCTACCCCACCCTTTCACTTTAGATGTGTCGGACCATAATAAAGTAAAGAGCTAAGAGGTAAAGTCAGGGATGGGAGGAGCGAGGACGGCACGCCGCCGCCACCACACACACATGATTTTAAAGCCGTATAAAGGAGATTAGCCTTCGTGGTCATCGTGCGGATGCCTCTTCCTATCTCTGCCACCACCCTCAAAGAACGGCACCCGCGACAGCCCCCATTACACCCGCGGGCGCGGCTCCCAGATCCGACCCGTCCCGCTAGCATCGCTGACTGAGCCCCGCCGGCCCGCAACTCCCACCGTCCCAGATCCCCAGCGGGCGGACCGGGGGGGGGGGCGGGGGGGCGGGCAGGAGCCCCCCGGTGCCGGACAATGTTGCCCTCTTGAAGGCCCGCGCTTGCTTAGCTAGGGGGCTTCGGGTTCATCACCTTTGGCGAATAGGTCGAGCACGGCCGCTGCTTGCCGGCTGCGTCCTCGTTCTGGTACGCCCCCTTGTAGAGCGTCCATAGCAGGAACTGGTTCATGTGGCTCATTACGCCGCAGAAACCGAACGCGCACGAGTACCCGGGGATGCGCATCCAGTACGCTTGCTTGGGCACGTACGTGCGGTCGTGTGACGAGTAGTGGTCGAAGGAATCGACCGGGTAGGTCGGCTTGTTGCACCAGATGCACACCCCTGGCCAGCAAGGCACCTTGCGAAGGCAGCCCGGGGCAGGAAGGCAAGCCGGCAGGCATGCAAAGAGCGCGCTCTTTGCGACGCAGCCCCAAGTGTCCCAGGACGGCGGTCCTGCGCGGAACGAGCAGAGGGGGCCGTGGGTCACCTGGGCCAGAGCGAGAAACGGCATGCGTTCTCTTCTTTTACCGAGGCACAATCCGGCGTTGTAGGCGCGCAAGACCAGCGCCTCCGAGATGTGGCCGTCGCCGAGCTTGCTCAGGAAGGGGTAGCAGCCCACGGGGCTGGGGCAGAACCAAAGTCCCCACATTGGGCAGAGGAACGGGGCAATCGACGCGTAAGAGCCGTCCATCACCCACCTATTAATCACGTGCAAGCGCTGTCGCTCGGGCGTTCGCCCATACTCTCGCACGTCGTCGCTGAATGACGCACCGTTGCGAGTTGATCTTGCCCGCGGCGGGGAAGTCGCCGATCGCGTCCTTATCGATCATGCACTTGTCAATGTCGCAGGCCGACTCGGGCGTGAAGGCGAGAATCGAGTCGAATGTGATGAGCCGCACCTTGGCGTTGTACTTCTTGGCGATTTCGACCGCGGCGATCTGAGCCTGCGCGCCGCCGAGGCTCCACCCCACGATCGTGATCTTCTTCTCGTCCCCGTCGGGCGGCGAGCAAACGAAACCCTCATGGTCGAGCGCCTCGGTCACGCCTTTCATCCGGTTGACCTTGTTGTCGCCGCAATCCGGCACCCCCTTGAACATCTTGTCGTGCGCCTGCATCCGACAAATTCCGCGGGATGAAGGAGGGGGGGGGGGGTGAGGGTGTGTGGGTGATACGGAGGGACACCTCGAGGTCTTTCTTGTAGACGCAATACCCCGTTTCGATGACGTCCTCGCCCTGGCAGTAGGAGAGCTCGCACGCCTTCCAGTTGCCGCAGGGGCCGCAGAAGCCGTCTTGCAAAATGCCCTGCCCGTAGGGGATGCCTTCGGTCTCTGTGGCCGAGAAGCAAAGGATGTAAGAGCCAGCGGGGGCGAAATGCGTGCCATCGAGCACGTAGTCGCAGTCCACCTTGACGAGATAGTATCGGTCGAGAAGAGTGCCCGGGCACGCACAGTTGTTCCGGGCGTTGAAGAAGGAGCCCATCGCAATGTACTCTCCCATTTTGGGAGTGTCGGGAGGGCACGGAGGCGATCCGCCGTTTGCCTTGTCCACGCGCGTGATAGGTGTTTGCCTTCCCGGCGTACTTAGGGCCGTTCTTGCCCGAACCGTTCAAGGAGTGCCCGCAGAACTGAAAGGGGATCCCCGTGTCCGGCACGCTCGCGCCTAGCCACGACTGGATCATCCAAAACGGGGCCACCTGTTGGATCTCCTCCGGGATCTTGGCCTACAGGTGCGGGGTGGGGGATGTCCGGGGTGGGGGATGTCGAGGGCGCAGGGGGAAGCTAGGCAGGGGGATGGGGATCCTCGTCCTGCGGCGGCGGCTTGTTGGCTTGGCGCTGCTTCGCCACGTAGTCCATGGATGGCTTGGGCTGCTTGGGCTGGGAAGGGAGCCTATAAGGGGGGAGATCCCCGTTGACAACACGCTGGAAGATAGGATGGGAGGCTGCGATGCAACGGGACATTGTGCGGCGAGGAAAGCTCAGTTTTTTTGGATCTGTGAGCGGGAAGGCGGCGGCGGGCGAGCGTCAGCACCGTGAAATATGGATGAGCATTGCGCGCGCTCGCTGCGGGCGTCGCGGGCAAAGGGCGTGGAGGCGACCGCCATCCGATTGTGCCAGCTTTGCGTCGTGTGCGTCTACTTGCTAGGGCGGCGTGCAAGCGAGCGGGCTGCGTCGCTCTCTCGCCGGAAAAGAGTGGGGGCAATCGGGCGGGTTCGCTCGGTGTAAGGGTGGGGAACGAGCGGCAGCGGCCGCGTCTCGTGGCTCCTCGATGGCAGCAGCCTCACCTGCGAACGGGAGGTGCAGGCATTGTGAGGCCGAGAGGGGGCGTAGCCGCTCGGGCGCCAAAGGCATGGTGGGAGCGGAGAGGGAGCGGCGGGTTGCGTGAGCAAGAGGCGTCGCGCCGCTCGGGCGTGCAGCTCCCCGCGGCCATGTGCGTCGATGCGGCGGGGCCAGCGCGAGCGGAACGGGAAAGGCGAGGGTTGGGCCGCCTGTGTGGAAATCAGCAAGGAGGGGGAATGTGTGATGGCCTGTCTCGAGGTCTCGCGGAGTACAATTTTTCGTTTTTCATGGAGATTTTGGCGATCGCGCACGCGACGTGGTTGGTGAGAGTGGAGGAGAGTGGGGTGAGAGAGAGAGTGGCGCCTCATGTGTGTGTGTGAGTGTGTGTGTATAAACGCTGGTCCGGGGTTGTGTTTTGAGCTTAGCCTTCGATGTTATGAAACAACGCAAGGCGGACATGGCATATCGCTCTCGGGCCCACAGACATCCCGCACACTCGCCGCACACCCGCCGCCCCCGCGCGCGCCCCGCCCCGGCCGGGAGAAAGGGGAGTGACAGTTTGGGACTCGCAAGCCCGAGTATGTTGAGTCCTGGCTCAACAACGCAGAGAACAAGAGGGGGTGGTCCGGCTCACAAGTCCGGCTCACGCGCCTCGAGCTCGCCATCTACCGCACTGAACACTTCCGCCCCCTCGCTCCCAACCCATCCACCTCGCCTCGGGCCGCGCCGCGCGATCTCGGGCGATCTCGCGCGATCTCGGGCGATCTCGGGGCCGCGCCGCGCTATCTCGGGCGATCTCGCGCTATCTCGGGCGATCTCGGGGCCGCGCCGCGCTATCTCGGGCGATCTCGGAGCGTCGCTCGCGCGGCGTCACACCTGCTCAAAAAGGAAGGAGGTTGGAGGCAGGAGGTCACGCCCCATCCAGAGCGCCGTCGTCGCCGGGTTTTTGGCCCCCGGGTCGTCGCCCGACGGTTGCTGCGCGGGGCAGCAGACCATCGGACGGCGCGACGACGCCCCGTCCGGCACGCTCCCCCCTCCACCCGGCTATTGCCGCACGAGCGCCCTCAGCGGCGGAATTTTCCCCTCGCGCTTCCTTGGGCCCCCGGCAACGCCGACGGACTTCCCGTCCCCCCACCTGCGCCGCAATCACCGCCGTGATTGTCGGCGCCGCGCCCCTTGGCGCCTGTGCATGTCCCGCGTGCCCGCCCGCCAAGGCTGGTGCCAAGGCCAACTCAACTGTGTTTTTGTATAAACGCTACACTGCGGTTGCGCGGCACGGTGTGCAGTGATGGTGGCTGGCTGCGTTAGGTGCTGGGCAGGGGCAGGGGAGTGTGGCCGCTCATGCTGCGGCCGGATGGGGAGGAGTGGGGCTCACGCCTTCTGGACAGCGACGCCTTGGTTGGTGTAGTAGAAGGGTAGAAGGCTCGAAGAACGCTGCACGACATCTCGACGGCCAGGAAGCGGCCGAGGCACGCACGCTTGCTCGCGCTAGGCTGTCACGTTAGGGAAGGATCTGACAGCACCGGATCACCTCGGATGTCAGACTCTGCTGTCAGGCTGTCAGATACGTTCTGTCAGGCTGTCGGAGAAAGTGCTGTCAGAGCTATCGGGCTGTGTCGGGCACTGTCAGGCGCTATCCGGGTTTGCTGTCAGGCTGTCAGACCAGGGCTCAGAGCACTTGGAAGCGTGCGGTCATTAACCACACGCCCAGGGCCGGGGAGCTAAGAAGCGCACCCAGCGGGCCGGACGGTTGTATCGGGCTGCGGGCTAGAGAGCCCTGACCCTGGGGGGTGCGCCGTCGCAGGCTGCCGACTCTGTGCTCGTGTCATGTATACGACGGTCCTTTCTTGTTTCTATATTCTTAATTCAAATTTCTAATACCGGTATACTATACTATACGTCAGTAAGTTACTTGTAACTTGATCACGAACACGCGCGCCAAAGACTAGTATGTAGTATACTCCGCCACGTCGAAAGTGGAGCGAAAACTCAGCCTTGAGTTCTCAGCGCCCTCACGGCCCGCCAATGGCAAACCCGACTCCCTCCGTGTGGCGCCGCCCGATGGTGTTGGGAACCCTATTCCGGAGCGATTTCCCCTAGGGTTAGCGCATGGTCATCGTGCGGATGCCTCTTCCTATCTCTGCCACCACCCTCAAAGAACGGCACCCGCGACAGCCCCCATTACACCCGCGGGCGCGGCTCCCAGATCCGACCCGTCCCGCTAGCATCGCTGACTGAGCCCCGCCGGCCCGCAACTCCCACCGTCCCAGATCCCCAGCGGGCGGACCGGGGGGGGGGCGGGGGGGCGGGCAGGAGCCCCCCGGTGCCGGACAATGTTGCCCTCTTGAAGGCCCGCGCTTGCTTAGCTAGGGGGCTTCGGGTTCATCACCTTTGGCGAATAGGTCGAGCACGGCCGCTGCTTGCCGGCTGCGTCCTCGTTCTGGTACGCCCCCTTGTAGAGCGTCCATAGCAGGAACTGGTTCATGTGGCTCATTACGCCGCAGAAACCGAACGCGCACGAGTACCCGGGGATGCGCATCCAGTACGCTTGCTTGGGCACGTACGTGCGGTCGTGTGACGAGTAGTGGTCGAAGGAATCGACCGGGTAGGTCGGCTTGTTGCACCAGATGCACACCCCTGGCCAGCAAGGCACCTTGCGAAGGCAGCCCGGGGCAGGAAGGCAAGCCGGCAGGCATGCAAAGAGCGCGCTCTTTGCGACGCAGCCCCAAGTGTCCCAGGACGGCGGTCCTGCGCGGAACGAGCAGAGGGGGCCGTGGGTCACCTGGGCCAGAGCGAGAAACGGCATGCGTTCTCTTCTTTTACCGAGGCACAATCCGGCGTTGTAGGCGCGCAAGACCAGCGCCTCCGAGATGTGGCCGTCGCCGAGCTTGCTCAGGAAGGGGTAGCAGCCCACGGGGCTGGGGCAGAACCAAAGTCCCCACATTGGGCAGAGGAACGGGGCAATCGACGCGTAAGAGCCGTCCATCACCCACCTATTAATCACGTGCAAGCGCTGTCGCTCGGGCGTTCGCCCATACTCTCGCACGTCGTCGCTGAATGACGCACCGTTGCGAGTTGATCTTGCCCGCGGCGGGGAAGTCGCCGATCGCGTCCTTATCGATCATGCACTTGTCAATGTCGCAGGCCGACTCGGGCGTGAAGGCGAGAATCGAGTCGAATGTGATGAGCCGCACCTTGGCGTTGTACTTCTTGGCGATTTCGACCGCGGCGATCTGAGCCTGCGCGCCGCCGAGGCTCCACCCCACGATCGTGATCTTCTTCTCGTCCCCGTCGGGCGGCGAGCAAACGAAACCCTCATGGTCGAGCGCCTCGGTCACGCCTTTCATCCGGTTGACCTTGTTGTCGCCGCAATCCGGCACCCCCTTGAACATCTTGTCGTGCGCCTGCATCCGACAAATTCCGCGGGATGAAGGGGGGGGGGGGGGGGGGTGAGGGTGTGTGGGTGATA